ATGGGGGTTGTAAACACACAAACAACAACACACCTTTGAACACTATATATATAAAATCAATCGCATTCTCATGAAGAAAAATTGGGACTAGGGGGCGTGATACCTCCCATACAAACCGTACAATACTGGAACTTCATATGGAGGTACTTATGGAGAAAAATGGGGCTATTTGAAAAGGGGGCGTAGGGCCTACAAACGTGGCGGCCTTTAGCTATCTTTCAATGTATTTATAATTCTTCTGTAGGTGTGTTTGTGAGGTATTAGTAGATGAATGTGCCAATGCAAATCGTAAACGTAAATTTTTGGTGAAAATGTTGGACCAAAAAGTTTCAATAAAAAAAAACTAATTTGGGCGGGACGAAGTTCGCCGGGTTATATATAAAAATTAATGTATGTATTTATATATAAGTATATGTCCTTTTTAGACTCCTAAACCGTTCATCCGAATGTGACAAAATTTGGATGACTGTTTGAGGGCATAGTGAAGAATGTTTGTGTTTCTTTATCCCCCGATAGGTGGCGCTGGAGTCGTTATATTTTGAAAATTCGCATTTATGGGCCGATTTGGTTTAAATTCGGTACATGTGCTACTAATGTGACCAACCGTACTTCTTTCGGAGGAACAGTACTTCTTTTTTACAGTTAAACAGGAGGGAGATTCTGTAACCAATTTTCGGATCGCTATCGCACTTCTTGACGCATGATATAAATGTTTTTGCGTCAAAAAGTGCGATAGCGATTCGAATATTGTCGCTAACTGGTTACAGAATCTCCCCCCAGGTCCTGTACTTCTCCGGTCTTCACATGGTCTGGGCGATATATTCGTTCAAACTATTAAAGTCGCCGGGAACCGAAGGCATCATACCTGCGCAGCTGCAAAGGGCTCTGAAGATGTCGTGCAATTGGTTGGATCCTATTTATAGGAACTGCGTGAGGATCGGGTACATCCCTAAGGCTTTAAGGGTGGTGAGTGTTGCGTTCATCCCGAAGGCCGGAAAAGGCTCTAATGTTTCCCCCAGGGATTTTAGGCCTATCAGTCTCTTCGTTTTTGCTAAAAACGCTTTTCCTAAAAACGCTAGAGAGACTGATAGATCTGTACATAAGAAACGCGATTCCTTGTGGCTGTCTTTCAAGACAAGAAAAGGTCGGTAAATACCGCCCTGCACACATTGGAAAAGTGATCAGAGGGAGTCTTCACGCATGAAAATTATGAGTAGGTGCCTTCTTCGATATCGAGGGGGCCTTCAACAATGCAACTCCAGAGGCAATAGTCAAGTATATTCATAATCTGGGGGTTGAAACCAACCTAATAAGGCTTATCTACAGCTTACTTCGCGTCAAAACTATCGCGGAAGAGTGGGGGAGCGTCTGCACTCAGCGAAGAGTCAATAGGAGCACTCCACAAAGTGGCATTCTCTCTCCCCTGCTCTAAATTACGGTTGTAAACGGGTGATGGCCTATATAGATGATGTGGAACTTTTGGTTAAGGGACGATTTCTATACACCCTTTTCGATCTGGCTCAAGGTTACCTGAACCAGGTAACTAGGTGGGCGATCAACGGCGGATGTCGTGGAAGCCTAACATTGAGGAAACGGTAGGAAAGGTGTCGGTTGCCTTGTACTGCTGTAGGGGAGCTATCGGTAAAATTAAAATTAATTAATTAGCTCTAGGAAACCGATTTAAGCCTATATTTTTTCAAGAAGCCCTTGTCTGGTGGAACTCACTAAAGATGGCGACACTTGTAAAACAGGAATTAGCGAAGCATTAGGAACCACACCTACACTGGCGCTTAACATACATATGTTGAACACGGCGACTACGGATATTGCAGGCAGAATTGTCGCAGCACGAACTGCTATTAGGCTAAGGGTCTTTTTGTGTCATAAAACAGGAAATGAAGACGTTCTCTGCTGCAGCAAATGTTTTTATAGGGCACTTTAAAACATTTTACCTATTACGGCTAGTAATAGTTGTTCTGACGTGCCATTATGCGATGTATTCATGCGGTGAGACTAAGAATTTCAACTGATCGTTTTTTATCAGCAGTCAAGTGGAAGATGAAGTGGAATCAGCTCCACACTTTCTTTCAGACTGTCCAACCTTAGCGAGGCTAAGATGGAAGCATTTTGGCTCGCACTTCTGAACAAACACTGAGCTCCCAGGGATCGAAATTTGCCGCAATCGAAATTTCGTAATCGGCTCGCAGCGTGGACTTAACCCAGCCTAAGCTGTACTTCTTTGAGCTATGAAATAGTTGGCCACATTATGATTTACCCATAAAACAAGAAGTATTTATACGAAAAATTTACTGCGTAGGTGACTCTGGCTGGGATCGAGATATTTGGAAAATTCTTGCTTATATGCAGATTTGGTTGAAATTCGGTGTACGTATTGTACGGAAGATTTACTTGCTAGTTGGAGCTATAGTCAATAAATTTGAAAGATTCATACCTATGGGCCAATTTGATTTATATTCAGTATACACACTGAAATAATTTAAAAAAATATATTTTCTAGGCAGCGCTGAAGTGATATTTGGAAAATTTGTGTTTATGGGCCGATTTGGTTTAAAATCATGTATTACTCATGTCATCTTCTTCTATGTATGTTTATGTATATGACGGATCTTCGGTAGGAGCACAGTTTGGATCCATATTTCTTTTAGGTTAATTATGCTGTTTTTCATTTGCTGTACCAATAAATATGAAACGCGCGTCCGATTGCTTCGATTACCCTTTTAATAATGGCCACCCGAAGCCTTCCTCGTTCGATTTGTACTCCCAAACGTAACTCACACAATTTGTTGGAGTCCAAGGTATACTGATACACCATTTGTCTTTTTCTCACCTTTAAGACATTTATGGTAACTATCGCAACGCGCAGGAATACACTCGGCCAACTTAATATATCACCTCGCTTTTAATGATGAAACATACAGCATGCTTCATTAAATCATTTATTATACAGGGACGTTGGTTTCATTACAAGGATTGGTTACAAAAAAATGTTCATTTCCGACATATATTAAAATGAAATGGCGTTCGTAGGTCATCGCATCCCGTAAGTTGGCTTTGCAAAGGAAAAGTAGACTCGCTAGGTCGGGCTGAAGTCGACACATTTGTAAACATCTTTTTTATGGACCTATTAAGTTCATACTGAACCAAACCTCTATATCCCTATGTTATTCAACGCCCTGAATGCGAATCCGAGGTCTGTTAGCCTCCATCACATTTGGTTCGAGGTCATTTGAAGTTCAAGCTGTGAAAATTTCATTGAATAAACCTGAAAATTCAATACAATTCTTCTGAATTTGACCTTGGGATCACCCCGGCATCTAGAGGTCATGCAGAAGAATCAAGGGACCCACATATTCGTATTCAGCGACAACAAAAACAAAAAATATTTTCATTGAATAAACTGTTTGTCCTATTTTACCCTCAGATGACCTCGAACCTGAAATTATAGAGGTTAACGGACCCCGGATTCGGGTTCAGCGAGTCTAAAACCCCACAAACATATATACATTTTCAGCGCATCGAACATCATAGAGATATAGAGGTTTGGTTCAATATACATATTTTGTTTTTGTAAATGTAGCTACTTACTGTACTTACTTAGGAAGGCGAGGCAGCAGGCCGGCATGCTTGCGGGCCCTAGCTAGCTCGTTGGATGGGGGGGGTCTTTCGTACCTACCTTGCCTTTAGCTACACTAACAAAAAAATTAGATGCATGCCTATGTAAGTCGTAGCAATGGTAAAAACAAATAGGGAAAGCTAGAGAAAGAAAATACAAACGTCAATGAAAGCATAGGAAAAGAAACAGTCCGGTCAGATGGAGTCGTCTCTCCCCTCCTACATGTATTCCACATGTAGTCTTGGGCGTTGCTGCGACTCCTATCCATTTAGCAACGCCCCCTTGTCCTGACATATGTCCGTAAGTCTATCAGTCAGTCACCATCAAGTCCGTAAAAACATTTTATCAATAACCCACTTCCCCTCTCTTGCTCAAGCGCAACACTCACACCAAAAGAAGAGAATCTAGCACTTCAATACTTGTATTCCTTTTCAACCAATGAAATAAAGATAGTTCATATTTTCCACCCTTTATTTCATAAACTTACTACTAACACAATCAAGAAACCTAATTCAAGAACTATTACATTTAAAGGCAAATGTAAGTGGAGTTATTAAATAAAAAAAACACACCCTTTTCTGTATATAATTCTCATAATAGCTACAGTATTAATTAAACGTTCTGGAACTCAGCCACCAGGAAACTAAACCGAAGTACAAAATCCAGTCAAACTCCCAAAATAAAAAAAAATCCAAAAAGAAAGAAAAAAAGGCAAACCAAATTCTCAACACTACACCTTTTCCAACAGTATTTCAGAAAAATACAAATGTATTTCAGAAAAGGCCAAATTAGTTTCAGAAAAACTCATATGTATTTCAGAAAGCCTCAAATGTATTTCAGAAAAGGGCAAATCTATTTCCGGGAAGCTCATATGTATTTCAGAAAAGGCCAAATGTATTTCAGAAAAAGCCAAAAGAAATTCAGAAAAACACTATTGTATTTCAGTAAAGCTCAAATGATTTTCAGAAAACACAAATGTATTTCAGAAACGGGCAAATGTGTTTCAGAAAAACACAAATTAATTTCAGAAAAGCACAACTGTATTCTAAAAATATTTTTCTGAAATACGTTTGTGCTTTTCTGTGATACCTCTGCCCTTTTCTTAAATACATTTCCGTTTTTATTAAACTTAGTTTCATACCCAAGGGCTGGACCCTGGCGAAATTTGTGTTTATTCCCAAGGGAGGTAGACCCTCCCACGTTAAACCAAGCGACTTTCGACCGATAAGCCTTACTCAAGATTCTGATTCATCGCCCTTAGGCAGTAGAGTTATTCATTCCGAGATGGGGGAGGTATCTATAACAAGATATGCAAGTCGCGGAACCCCACAAGGCGGTGTTCTCTCCCCACTTCTTTGAAATCTAACGGTGGATACCCTGCTGTCACGGTTGCAAGGTACAGGTTGCCAAGTCATTGCTACGCGGATGATCTTGCCCTGACGGCAATTGGTAAGCACCCCCAAGTTCTATGTGACTTAGTTACTTACGCGTCGTGGATGCCTGGTACAAAGAAGTAGGACTTAGTGACAATCCGGCAAAAACGGCCATGGTTCTGTTTTCAAAGAAAACGAAAGCTGTCCGGCTACAACCTCCTTCCTTGAACGGTATCGCACTGACTTTCTCGGAGGAGGTTAGATATCTGGGCGTTATTCTTGACAGAAAGTTAACTTAGCGGCGCAATATAGAAGAGCGCTGCAAGAAATCTATAACTGCTATGAATGCCTGTGAATCGGCGATTGGGAAAAATGGGGATTGAAGCCTCACATTGTGAACTGGATGTACATAGCCGTTGTGCGTCCAATTCTATTCTACGGCATAACGGTTTGGTGGCCGTCCGTAGATAAATCTACAATAAGAAACAAATTAACAGCGGTCCAAAGGGTGGCGTGCATGATGATCACGGGAGCGTTACCATCGACGCCGACTAAAGCCCTAGAGACCTTGCTTCACTTGCTACCTGCGGACCTATATGGTAAACTACAGGCAAGCTGTAATGCTATTAGATTAAATGCACTAATCAAATCGAGTGACACGAGGTTTGGGCACTCTAGAATTTTGGAAGATCATCCAGAGGACTTTAGGCGCCAGGACTACACAGTCCCACCTACGGGACTAAAGAATCACTTTCAGACAAGGTTCCCCTCAAGGGAAGAGTGGGAGGAGCATTCGGTCCTGATCTCGTATTCTGACTCAACGGCCATCTACACTGATGGCTCTAAGCTGCATCTGAAGGTAAGAAGTGGGGTATACTCGCGAAAACTCTCACTCAGCCTCAGTTTTCGTCTGCCAGATCTATGCAGCGTTTTTCAGGCTGAACAGCAATAAATTAAAGATAGCAAGACAAATCTGGCCTAAGCTGGACAAGCGTAGATCTCGCCCTCTACCCCACTTGAAGCGACCACTGTTGCGGCATGTTATTGGAGTTCTCACCGGGCATTGCCTGATGGGAATCTAAGCCATTAGAATGGGTTTGCAGTCAAACGACTACTGTCCTAGCTGCCTCGATGAGGAGGAAATCGAGAGCGTGGAGCACTGCTTATGCCACTGTCCTGCTCTGGCGGGAGCTCGTCGATGCTCATTCCTCCATTATTCTTTTGAATGTCTGGCCGAACTGGATTCAGCCAGTGTCTATGACGTTGTGCGCTTCAGTAGAGCTACGAAGTGGTTCCATTACTATGTTAAGAGGAGGGACATATGGAGTCTCTAATACGGCATCACAACGGGCCCATGGTGGCCAAACTGTTGTCACATACCGAGAAAATTATCAGAAAAACTTAACGGAAACAAAATCTCCTAGGTGAGTACAGAAAACTGATATCAAAATAAAATCCTTATCAAATTATAATAAATTTGCATCAATAAAAAAAGAGAACCACGTGGGGAAAATCCCCTTCGCTGCTCGCAGCCCCTGCTGACAATACTCCCGCTCTGGCCTATTCAGCTATATACCTTCTCATATGTTCATGTGCCACTCAGTGGCGCATCTGCCCAACTACATATGTATAAGCGAGCGTTGACCCACCGTGGGCTTATGTACTGTAAACAGGTGCTGATAGTTGCGGGGTAAGTAGTTGGTGTCACTTCAGGTTTCGGTCGGCCTAGGGATGAAACGATACCATGCAGGTATCGATACATTTATTTGGAAGTAGTATAAATGCCTGAAAAATATCGGGCCTAAAGTATCGATACCTACTCGTATCGGTACTCATTGTGTATTCCGTATTAGGTTAAAATAAATTTTTTAAATCACAAGTTAATTATCCTCTGGGAATGTAGGAACTGAAAATAAATAAAACTCCGTTACATAGCAGAACTATATGTTTAACAATGAATGGTATTTACACAGATACATATACATTAGAAAAAATCACAAGTTAATCTGATTTAAGAAAACATTTATTAATAAAATATTTCAGCGAAAAAAGGCTTCTTTTGTTGTACTCTCCAAGAATAGAAGTTTTTCCAAATGTTTGCCAGTCAACCGATTTCTTGACGTGGTCATTGTTGCTCCTGCTTTCCAAAACAATCGTTCGCAAGGAAAAGGTGTTGTAACTATATGTGGATACTGGGCTGGATTAAAAAACGTATTTTTTATTATGTAAAAAAAATTTTTTGGAGTTAGCGCTAGTCAGTTTCTTATAAAAACGCTGGTGTATTAAATTTTTTTATTTTCGTGACATATTATTGGGGAATATTCACTTTCGAAAACAGACTGCTATATTAAAACGTTGATACTGCACGTTTTAAGCATTGCCATCAGTGTTGCCATTTTGGTGCTTTTGGAGCTAGATTTAGCTCTTGATTTTTCTATTTAGCTCCGAAAATCGGGTTTTAGCTCCTAGCTCTTTTTTTAGAGCTTTTCAAATTTATGTAGCACTTTTTTAGCTCCAGAAAGTTTTAGTTGCATTTGGTATATATAAACCAAAACTAAAGCGTTGATAAAATGGGAAATTTCGAGATGCAGTGTATCCACCATAAACTCTTGGATCTACGTTAAAGAATTCAAAAATTAATTAAAAGAAAATCCTTTTTCTGATAGCGCGGATGTTGTTTTACCTTACTAATTTTACCTTTAAGGGGAGCTGGAAGTAAAACTTTCCAGAAAAATTTGGCGAAAAAATTATGCAATTCAAATATCTGAAGTTACAGACTTAAACAGTTTGTAAAGTATTTTTAGTTCGCTGTTATAAATGCCATAGCAACGAATTCGAAATATATGCACCTTATTTTGGTTTTAAAGGATTTTTTCAGCACTTAAACTTACAAAATTCGTTGTTTTTATTAAAATTGCCGAACACGTACAAACAACCTTACGTCAATAAATGCTCAACCTTAACAAAAATATGTAGCTCTTCATTTTAGCTACTAACTATTAGTATTATTTAGCTTTTTTCGACCGTTTTAGCTCCAAACGAAATTTTTCTCTGGCAACACTGATTGCCACGGGTTCAAACTCGTTACCAGGGGATTCAAAATGGCGGATTCAAAATGGCGATCAATTTGAAAAAATAGCATTTTCAGTTTAAATGAAACCATTTTCAAATTATGTGAAACCTTTTTCAAATGAAATGAAACCTTTTTCAGGTTAAGCGAAACCATTTTCAAATTAAATGAAACCTTTTTCAGGTCAAGCGAAACCCTTTTCAAATTAATTTAAACGTTTTTCAGATTCAATGAAACTTTATTTAAATTAAATGAAACTTTTTTCAAATTAAATGAAACATTCTTATACCATGTTCGGACCGACATCGAAAACATGTTTTCGTTGCTATAACTGGTTTTCGACCTAAAACTTGTGTTTTCGTCGATGTAAAATCTGTCAAACGAAAACCAGTTTTCGCTGAAAACTACTTGAAAACTCACATTCCAATCATTCCAATCGGTGTCTTCACTAGTATTTTAGATATATTTATCGAAGTGGAAGTCATATTTTATCAGCGTCGGTCGCTGTGGTGTAGTGGTAAGCAGTGCGCGCTTCCACTCCGCAGCACCTGGTTTCAAGCCCTGGTCAAAGCAACATCGCAAAAAATTTGAAAAAACGTTTTTTCTTAACAGCGGTCGTCCCTCGGCAGGCAATGGCAAATCTCCGAGTGTATTTCTGCCATGAAAAACAGCTTCTCATAAAAATACAATCGTTAGGAGTCGGCGTAAAACTGTAGGTCCCTCCGCTTTGTGTGACAACATCAAGGCGCACGCCACAATTTGGAGGAGAAGCTCGGCCAAACACTAACATATGTGTAAGCGACAATCTATTATTATTATTATTATTATTATTATTATTATTATTATTATTATTA